TGGAGAGTGAGCCTCTGGACTCTCCTCACATCCTCCAGGTCTGTTTCCATGAGTGTAAATGACACTGGGATGATTTTCATCTGAGCCGGCTCTGAACCAGAACACTCTGTGTTTCCCTGGACATGTGTTGTTTTCAGACTCAGAGAGAACAGAACACTGCAGAGTCATCAGGTCTCCTGGGTGGACTGGATCCTGTGAAATGTCTTGAACGACTGAGGTGATACTGGGCTCTGGTCCTGAATAAATTCAATACAAAGTAAATATGCTGGATTTGTTAAAAATATTCAAAGTAGCTGCAGTTTAGAATTAAGAGAAAAACATCCTAGAAAGTATGCTGTATGTTTTTTCCTTATTTAGGGGACATTTGGTTGATTGCTGTCATAAATGGTGTTAGGTATTATTTTAAAGAAGTTGAAGTGCATTTTATTTACCTTTAATCTGCAGAAATGTTCCTTTTAAAACTGTCATTTTAATACCCTCTTGTTTCACACAAAAGTAAAGTCCAGTGTCGCCGACTTTTACTCCATTAATAATCACCACAAACGTTCCAGGCTCTTTTTTTGCTGTGAATCCAGGAGTTTCTTCAACAAGGTCAGAATCAATGGCATTGGTTCCTCCCAAAACCTCAGGCAAATCACCAAAAACGAGCCGGAGCCAGAATAATTGTGTTGAATACCAAGAAGCATCACGAGGACACGTCAGAGTCACATCATCTCCAACACCAACAGTCTTTGTCTCAAAGTTCTCATAGATGGTGCATCCTGAAGAAAATAAATATATGTCAGTGTTTAACAACAGAGAAAGATCATGTATGCTCTGTGCTAAAAATAAAACATATTAACCCTTAAAAGATCAGAATTAGACGAGAAGATTGGACATAAACTTACGACCAAGTGTGAGCGTCAGTAGAAAAACAAGAACAGACTTCATTTTCTCCTTCGTCCACTTAATACAGCAGTAGAATGAACTCGTATGAGAAGCTGCTTCTCCTTCATAGAACCATATAAAGTAGGAGGGAACAATCACAGGGCAATCTGATTGGCCCTTCATTATGAGGGTATTACTTTAGAACCACAGTGGAAATTCAAGCTAAAGCACATGAAACAATAGAAGCAGCAAGCTTCTGTTTCAAGTTTTCATGGTGGGTTTCTGTACCTGCTGCTGAGTGGAAACACACTAACTACAGTTTTCATTAGTATTTTCCACTCGGTATAAAAGAAGCATACGTATGAACACTGAAGTCAACCAGTGGTTTGTGAAAGCATCAATTTTGAAGCCAAAGTATTTGAACGAGGATGTCGACACACATTGTCTGGTTGAGCTGCACGTGCCCAGGAAAATCTCAGAATCTATTTGTCTGGTCTGTTCTTGCTGTCCCCCAAAACACTTGAAGACAAATGTTATATCAAGACGCTTTACAGAGAGCAGGTAAAGACGTTACTCATTGTTATGTTACAAAATAATATTAGGATAGACTACCTCCCATAGTACATTTAGAGACTGTAGGTACCACGAGCAGGCCTGATAACTGAAGGCTCTACCTCCCATAGTACATTTAGAGACTGTAGGTACCACGAGCAGGCCTGATAACTGAAGGCTCTACCTCCCATAGTACATTTAGAGACTGTACCACGAGCAGGTCTGATAACTGAAGGCTCTACCTCCCATAGTACATTCAGAGTCCGTACTTAGACCTGCATTCTGGGAGCGTAATGTTCCTGAAGGGTAATACAGCATTATCAGCTCTTTAAGATAAGATTTTTCCTGATCAGAGCTTTGTAAGAGAGGAAAGGATTTTAAATTATATTCTAGATTTTATTGGGAGCCAGTGCAAAGAAGCCAATAAAAGAGAAATGTGATGCCTTTTCCTATTTTTGGTCACTACAGCTGCAGCATTTTGTACTATTTGAAGAGTCTTCAGAGACTTACCAAGGTAGCTGTCTAGTGTGCAGCCAGCCTTATTTTATGAAGCCATAAACTCCCACTACATATCTCTTGTTGAGGCCAAACAGAGCAGGTACAAACCAGTGAGAGATTAGCACCTCCCCTCTGGCTGGTGAAAAACACAATAAAAATACTTCACATTGCTGCCTTTTCCTAAACCTGAGTTGGTGTTGTGATACTATTTCTAATAAAAACAGTATTATAGCTCTCTCACTTTAAAGAAGGTAATAGAAAAGTTAAGTTGAACTTCCTGAGATTCAAACAGAGTGCAGCAACAGAAAAAAGCCTCTTTGTATTCACACCTCGATGTGAAGCCTAACCACAACGGCACTTGAGTTTCCATGCATGACTTGGTCTTCAGCTGTGACTGTGAATGTGTGTTCATCTGTTTGTTTGTGTGTGTGGACAAAAAGTTGACCACAGGCAGAACACCTAAAAGTTTTAATGCACAGTGAACTAACCACTAGCATGCAAGAAATATCTCCTAAACTGTTTCTGCTTTATGCTTTCTCTCTCTCTCACTTTCTCTCTCTCTTTCTCGCTCTCTCTTTCTCTCTCCCCTTATAGTCATTTAATTGTAATCAGAGTTACATCAAGCTACAGTTGCAGCTCAATAAAACATTATTTTTTATTATTGAGGGCAAACTGGACTAGGGGTGACGCATGCTTGAGCAAAGTACAGATTGCCTAGTGTGAGTGCGCCTTCAATAAGGTCAGCTCTCAGATGTTTTCTTCTTTCACTTCTGTACTCGCACCTCAAACCTCACAGCATATCCTGTTGAGGCTCAAAGTGTCTTCTGAGTAAAACGCTTCAGTGGTTGGTCAAAGACAAAGACATGGCCGACCACAGCTCGTGTCAGCGTAGCTCTTGCATGTGGCTGTTTTCGAACATGAACATTAGCCACTTGTAAAAAGTGCTGTGAAACTAACACACAAACTAGTTGTATGTGAGAAAACAATACAGCATCTATATGCATAAAAAGTACAGACGCTGATGTTTAGAACAGCAGTTTAGCCATTCCTGATGTTTTTGTTCAACTCTTATCTCGGTGCAAGACGCCAACATGGTGGTGGTGGTGACAGGAGAATGCAGGATGTGATGAGGAGTGGGTTTCTGAGGCTGTCTCTGAACACTGCTGAGCTGGAATGGAGGAGGGTCACAGCGATCGCACTGAAATGACAGACTGACTGTGAAAGAGAGAGAAGAGGTTTTAAAATCTGACAGCAGCAGGATGATTGGTTGAAAGAGGTTGTGCAGAGTCGGGTTGGTTGATTACTTACAGAGTAAACGCCCCAAATCAGCTGATCACCAAAGCAGGGAGACGGGGGGAGAGGAAGAGTGGAGGGCTACACTGAATGAAGAAAATCAAATGAATGTGAGAGAATATAACCAGTCTTCCTGCTTGAACTTACACTGGGCTCCTTTTAATTGCCAATCACTACTTAGCTGTAATTGGCGGACACATTAGGAATTTAAATTGAAGTTGAAGACAAGTATTTTTTGTTTTGTGGTGAGCAAGACGAGAGCAAAGAGATTATAATAGCCATAGAGCTCAACAGTGACCGCCCAATTTTTCGGCAGCTCTGGTTCCGGAAGTTAATTTTCCCATTCAAATCCTCTTTTGGATATTTAAGGATTTCACAAAATCCTTATGAATCCTTAGTTTCACAAAATCATTATATCAACAGATTGAAGCCTGTTGCCATGACAACCAGCTACCTCAATGCTCGTGACAATAAAACATTTGATTGGGCAAAAACAAAACAAACGTGAGAAAAGGCAAAGGTTCAAGACTGTGTGCATGACTGAGTTTTTGAATTTCCCTCGGGATCAATAAAGTATCTATCTATCTATCTATCTATCTATCTATCTATCTATCTGTCTATCTGTCTATCTGTCTATCTATCTGTCTATCTATCTGTCTATCTATCTGTCTATCTATCTGTCTGTCTATCTATCTATCTATCTATCTATCTATCTGTCTATCTGTCTATCTGTCTGTCTATCTATCTATCTGTCTATCTGTCTATCTGTCTATCTGTCTATCTATCTATCTGTCTGTCTATCTATCTGTCTATCTATGAACTAAACATCCCATAATGCATTGAGAATGATTTATGCTTTACTATGCTTACTAAAGAGCATATGGGTGGGGGTCGGAGCAGGTCGTGCTTGAATGAGGACGACACAGTCCGGTGGTGGAGGCTGGGTATTCACAGGAGACACATGTAGCAAGATGTACAAGATAGATGTTGTCATGGTTTCGGTCAAACATCTTTAAAAGATAGAAATTCCTTAAATCAGATTTTTAAATGGTCAAGTTGTCTGATTGGTGAGTCACAGAGCGACGTCCCTGTATATGAGACAGTTGCAGTGGATAGCTACCTCGATTATAAACGATGATCCCCGTTCTTTGCTCAGTGATTTTCAGCTCCTTCTCTCTGGACGGAGGATTTTAGTCCCAAGGTGCAGAACCAACCGAAACAAAAGCAGCTTTGTTCCTGCCGCTATCACAGAAGTGAACAAGCTGTAGTTATATTAGCAAAAACACACAAAAAAACATATTTTTATCCTGGATTATTTGTGTTTTTTATGGACCTTATTGGTTTACACTTCTCTCTCTTCTACGCTCTGATTGGTGGAACCTCGCGCCCTCCTATAATTCTTCTGACTTCTGTAGGTTTTGATCTTGTTTTAGTCGGTTTAAATAGTTCTCCTTCTCTCTAATGTGTTGTTCATTGTTACATCTGTTCTGTCATCTGTGTCATGATGGATGTTGATCTCGCTTGCTGCAAACAAATCTACCTACAGGTACAAATAAAGTCACCTGGACCTGATAAGTAGAAGAACTAAAAAACCAAAAAAAAACTGCACAACCCATTTCCACTGCTTACTCATGAGCGCTTTGCCGACTTAAAAAAAACTCTAAATTTAACTGAAAACGGGACGTGATGATTGGTTTTGCACGACGTGAATTCTTTTTTTGTCTAAGCCAATCACAACGACTTGTATTTTGTTGACCTTGATCATGTGTGACGAAATCTTCCATTTGGGTCGGAGACTTCAGTTGTGCAAGACCGAGGTGATATACCACAATGATCGGAAGACTGGCTGCTGTGATTCTTCTCAGTACTTTGTGTGAGTATAAACTTTGTCTCCTTTAAGATGAGTATGTTTGTACTCGATAGTTTCATAGAAAGAGAGGGGAAAAAGACTTCAGGTGACTTACATCAGTGGTGTCCAAATTTTTTCCTTGCGGGCCAAAATTGTCGTGTTAGAATCGCTCGCGGGCCACAGGTTTTGTTTTTAAAAATATATTGAAAAAATAGTTAGGCTTTGTAGATCAGAATCAAAAGGCTCGCTAAAGAAAACCTTTTCCAATCAAATATTTTGATTTCTTCGTTCTACTTTATTTGTTTTTTTCTCAGAATCAAGCCTGTAACGTGGTTCATTTTTTTGGAAAAGCTTTCTGCATTTAGCTCAGGTCATTAAATGTTAAAAAACAGTCCGCTTGTTTGCAAAAACTGTGCATGAGTTTTTTTTCATGGTTTACAAAAAAATGTGGAAAATAGTAAAAGCTGTAGATTTAAAAAAACAACAACATACATGTTACTGAACATTTTCTGTTTTAGGAATATTGTTCAGCCCTTGCTAACATGAAAAAGAAAAATAAGAAAATGTGCCGATCTTAATTGAGGCCTCGGGCCAAAATCTTCTGATTTTTTATTTGAAGTCACGGGCTGCAAAAAATCCCCTCAAGGGGGTCACGTGATGCACGGAGGCGAGAGGACGTAGATTTGTCGTCTCCCCAGCGGGTTGATTCTTAATCAATATTTTACAGTATTTTTTGCCGGTCAACTGATTTCCAAAGTGACGACGGTATTGATAATGTCTGTGGATAACTTTTTCACGTCGTGTGGGTCGGTTAAAAGGAAAGAAACTCGCAGAAGAGGAAAATTAACTGCTAATGCTATGCCTGTTGCTAATCAAGATAACGAGCATGGTGACTCCGATGATGCAGCACGAGAGGCTAACTTGACTGACAGAGAGGAGATGAACGTGCAATGAGATGACTTGATAGTGGATCGAGTTACCACCAATATAGCCACAATGCTGGACAGTAAGCTAGCTGCTATACTCAAACCGGTTAACGAGCTCTCTCAGAAATTTGACACCTTATTTGAGAGGATCGGCGCTGTTGAGCAACGGGTTTCGGACCTGGAGGATACAATACCGCTGGTCACACCGCGAGTGGATACTCTGGAGACTGCACTGAGAAGAGCAACGGATCGTATTGAAAGCATGGAGAACCAAAGCCGACGGCAGAATGTGAGAATTGTTGGACTTAAGGAAGGCATGGAGGGAAAGGAGTCGGTGGGCTTCTTTGAAAAATGGATCCCAGAAGTTCTGGGCATATTAGGAGAGCGAATCCGGATCGAGAGAGCCCACCGCACCGGTCCTCCGCTGAGGCTTGGCGGCAAAGATGGTCCGAGAGCTGTTTTGGTGAGGCTACACAACTACACCGACAAGCAGAGAATCTTGTATGCGGCAAGGAACAAGGGCAGGATTAAAGTGGAAGGCCAGGACGTATCTTTCTTCCAGGACTTCTCCGCTGAGGTAGTGAAAAGGAGGAAGGAGTCAGCAAGCGCCCGGAGGAGACTACGTGAGGCTGGTATAAGATACTCATTTGTGTATCCTGCCGTGATTAAAATAACCAACATCAATGGGAAGATGATGTCACTCTCCTGCATGGAAGAAATTAATGACTATATTAAAAAACTGCCAGCTCCATAATGAGCTCGGTAAGGGTACGTACATCATCGCATAGGAGTATGTTGATAAGGTTATTCTAGCTGTGTTGACATTGACCGACCAGGGTTAGATCTTACTATTTGGCTTCTACTGACAACTAGTGGACGAGTCTCCCTTAACATCCGTACACAATAATGAGTCAGTCGTGCCATGTTAAGTTTACGCTGTGAATGCAAATCCTTGAGGAAAACGTCTTTTTGTTAGATGTTATCATTATTGATACTTCTTGTTTTATTGTGGTGGCTTTGATTGCAGATTTACTGGCACCATATTACTACAATCCAGATGGGGAGGATAGTTTGGGTTACCTTTCCTCCTTGTCACCATCCCCCCCAGCTATACTTTTGCAATGCTTGAGTATGACAAGTTTAGACTTATGTTTGTTTTTTCTTTTGTTTTTTCCCAGTTCCCTTTTGGAACTGGACTGTTCAGGATTCTTAGCGTTAGGTTCAGTTTTTGCTTGGAACCATCTCTGTTCTCTTTTGAAGCTCGCACACGATTTAAAGTCATAGATTGGTTAGGATCATATGAAGCAGTTATTGTTGGAACACAACATACATATACGTTTACCAGTTATAAATGAGTATCAAGATATGTACATGGAATATCCGGGGCTCTAATAATGTTGTTAAGAGGAAATCTGTCCTGAATTCGCTTATAAAAGAAAAGATTCAGGTAACATTTCTACAGGAAACGCATCTAACCGATGAGGAACACAAAAAATATCTTAGGGAATGGGTTGGTCAGGTTCACTTTTCATCTTATTCAACAAATAAGAGGGGTGTGATTATATTACTACACAGAAATCTGCCATTTACTGTTACAGCTTCATTCCAAGATACGGAAGGAAGAATTGTTTTAGTTAAAGGGGTATTATTTGGAGAAGATGTTTTGCTGGGAAATATTTATGCCCCTAATGCTCAAGATGGAGCTTTCTTTGCTCTGTTATTTAGTCAGTTGGCTGAAATGGACTGTCCAAATATGATAATAGGAGGAGATTTTAATTGTAGTTTATCTCCGTCATTGGATAGACTTCCACCTCAAAACAGTCAGTCCAGTAATGCACGGGCAGTCCTGAACATTATTAAGGAATTTGATCTTCTAGATGTGTGGAGGCATTTCAATCCTTTGTCAAAAGGCTACACATTTCAATCTCTTCCCCATTCTTCAGCGTCACGTATTGACTATATATTTGTGTCCAAATGTTTATCTCATTTGATAGAACACTCAGATAGGTCACATCGCTCTCTCAGACCATGCACCTGTCACTATGTTAATGCAACCTCTAAGACCTATTGAACGCTCATTTTCTTGGAAAGTGGATACTTTATTATTCATGGATAGCAACTTTATTACATTTTTGGAAGAACAAACAGACTTATTTTTAGAGTTTAACGATAAAGATGGGGCAGACCCAAGAATTCTGTGGGAGGCATTTAAAGCCTATATGAGAGGTATGATTATTTCATATTCAAGCCGGAAGAAAAAAGAGCGGGTTGCCGAACAAACTAAGATCGAAAATAAAATAAAAAAGCTTGACGAAAACTACTATAGAACTAAATTAGATGAGGTCTTAACTGAACTAAAGGCAACCAGGATAACGTTGCAGAATCTGATAACAAGAAAAGCAGAAAAGGACATTCTCTTTGCCAAACAAAGACTCTTTGAATTTGGCAACAAACCAAACCGCCTACTAGCACGCCTAGCAAAGAATGCCCCAATAAAGAACTTTATCTCAGCTATACAGGACGAAAATAGTCAACGACAAACAAATAACCTTCGGATTAATGATGCATTTAAAAGGTTCTATGAAAAGTTATATAGTTCTGAAAACGATGTGAATAAGCTCGAGGAAGGGTTCTTCTTAAACAGTTTGACAATCCCGCAACTATCAGAAGATCAGGCTAATCTTTTGGAAGGCCCCATCTCCTTATTTGAAATCGATACAGCCATATCCTCACTCCAATCCGGGAAGTCGCCCGGGGCGGACGGATTTCCGGTTGAGTTTTTTAAAACACTAAAAGATAAGATCAATAAATTATTACTTAGAGTTTTCAATACATCTATTGAGGACTCAAAACTCCCAGAATCAATGTGTTTGGCCAATATAACACTTATATTAAAGGAAAAGAAAAATCCAGAACTCTGCTCCTCATACCGACCAATCAGTCTACTTGGAGTGGACACAAAAATGACGTTGTATGCAGATGATGTCCTGTTGACCTTAACAGACCCGAGTGTGTCAGTACCTGCTGTCATAGAATGTGTTAAAGAATTTGGACTAATATCTGGATACAAAGTTAATTTTGACAAATCTGAGATAATGCCCCTGGTGAGCGATAGGCGTGTTGAACCTGATTTTGTTAGACCATTTCGCTGGGCCCCTGATGGTTTCAGCTATCTGGGAATAAAAGACACGCCAAAACTCAATCGACTGTATAGTGAAAACATTTACCCGTTGACTAAGCACTTGAAAGAAAATATGATGAGATGGAGGAATCTGCCCATTTCCTTTCTTGGTAGGATCAATCTCATTAAGATGACTATTCTCCCTAAGATAATTTATCCTGTATCTATGCTTTTTGTAATTTTAAGGACAGAAGATATTAGAGATATTAATAAAGCAATATCAGACTTCATTTGGGCAGGAAGGAAACCCAAAATAAAATTAGAGAAGTTACAACTCACTAAAGAAAAAGGTGGGTGGGGTCTACCTAAAGTAGAAAATTATGTTATGTCAATACATGCCAGGATTATTTCTTCATGGGTGGTTGGAAACACTGGGTTGCCTTGGCTTGAAATAGAGGCCATAATGTGTAAACCTTTTTCCCCTATAAATTTATTAGACAAACGACTGAAGGAATTACCAATTCTAGTTAAGGACAACTTGTTAATAACCAATATCATAAGGATGTGGAGAAGCTTAAAGGCAATGTTTAAGGAAAACTGTCCCTTGAATGCACTTACAACATTGGTGGACAATCCAGATTTATCAGTGGAGGGGGCAGGGCCTAACTATAAACAGTGGCAGGAAGCAGGCTTAAAAGGAGTACATGATCTTTGCAGTAATGGGATCTTCAAAACGTTTGACTCTCTGAGAGATCAGTACAATATACCTACCAAGGACTTTTACAAATATCTACAAGTCAGGCACTATGTATTGAAGAAGGCAAATACCCTCAATTTCTTTAGTGGTTCGCATATGCTGGAAAGATTTTTCTTGGATCATACAAAAAATGAACATTTTGTATCAAGGTTTTACTCTGAGCTATAGAATTTGGATGTGGATAAACTTGCTTCCTTAAGAACATCATGGTCGGCGCTGCTGAAGGTGGCTATAGATAAAGATACATGGGAAGAAATTCTGATGTTACCCTCCAAGATTTCAATCTGTAATAGATATAAGGAGATGCAATACAATATCTTGCATAATGTTTATATATCTCCATATGTTTATAATAAGTTCACAGCAGGAGCTTCCCCAATTTGTTCCAAATGCAAAGCTAATACTGGAACTAGAATGCATTGTCTTTGGGAGTGTGAAAAAATTAAATTATTTTGGAAAGCAGTATGTGGAGAAATAGGCACGGTGATAGGACAACAACTGCCTCCTGGCCCACTTCTATGCCTCCTAGGAAGTCTACCGAACATTTTGAAGGAACATAAGGACGTAATCCAATTTCTTTTAATGTTGGCTAGGAAGGCTATAATGACAAAATGGGTTGGGGATGAATCCCCTACTGTTCACTTGTGGAAATCGCTGATATCTGATGTTGTGATGTTAGAAAAGTTAAGATACTGTATTAGTGGAAAGACTCATCTCTTTAAAAGGAAATGATAGAAGCTTTGAATCTTCTAAATGTTAAGTGCAACTTATCATAATGATCCCTGAATGATTATCTTGCTATTGTACAACCTCACTGTTAATCACATGTATACTATACTGGTGGATGCTGAATGTGACTACTGGACCAACTATGCAAATATTTTGCTAAAGTGCACTGAGCTGTTATTGTTTTGTATTTGAAAATCAATTAAAAAAAAAAATAAAAAAAAATAAAAATCCCCTCAAGGGCCGCAAATGGCCCTCGGGCTGACACACATTTTAAATGTCTCTGATGTTTCTCTCACTCTTCAGCTCAAACCATAAAGATGCCTCAACCGATCTCTGTGACTGTGGTTAAACCGGGTGACACTGTGACTCTGGCATGTTTGTTTACCAAAGATGAAGCTGGATTGTTGAACTGGTACAAGATGAAGTTTGGATTCATGGTCCAAACAGTTGCAGCAGGAAGTTTTGACAAAGTTATCCTAGTAGAGCAATTTGACAACTCAAGATTTACCATCACCAAGGAGGGTTATCTGAACTTTCTCATCATCAGAAATGTAAGCAAAGAAGATGAAGCAACGTACTTCTGTCAAGTGGGAACTCCGTACACGTTGAAAATAACGAACGGTACAATAGTAGCGGTGAATGGTAAAGTATGCACATTACAGTTTGTTCTTTGTCTGCATCTGTGCCCCAAATATCATGAGCTAATTCCTGCTTCACTGTGACTCACACAGATCATAAAAACCACCAGAACCTGGTCTATGTGAAACAAAGACCGGAGGCGCAGTCGGTCCAGGCGGGCGGCTCAGTGAAGCTCCAGTGTTCACTTCTCTCCAAGTCCAAAGAAAACAGAGAGCAGTGTCCAGGTGAACACAGTGTGTACTGGTTCAGAGCTGCAGCAGGAGAAGCTCATCCAGCTGTTATTTACACTCAAAGCCACAGAAGTGAAGAAGAAGAGAAGAGAAGCTGTGTCTACAATCTGTCCAAAACCATACACAACTCGTCTGACGCCGGGACGTACTACTGCGCTGTGCTCACATGTGGACAAATCCTGTTTGGTGAAGGAACTACAGTGAAGACAAGTACGTGTTCACACTTCTTTAATATGAATTCCAATCACTGCAGTTCTCTCATTTAAATCGATGTGGAGTCACTGCTAAGATTCTCTGAAAAGGAAAATGACAAATCAGGTTCTAACGAAACCCTAATTTGCTCAAACTTATATTTAAAGGAGCAGTATATAGCTCTGACACCTAGTTTTTAAAATAGGTACTGCAGTCTAAATTCTAAACATTATAGAGAGCTAGTTTGAGCACGTTTCTGCTCGTGGAGCTTATTAGAAACATGCAGAGGCTTTTTAGGTCGGGTACAATCACTTCTATCTGAACCACTTCTCTTGACCGCTTCCATCGCTGCAACACCTGTTGACCTGATAACTGCTCTCATATCTGACAAACCGAGGGGTGTCCAAAACGGCTGTATAGGGGTGTCTAAAAAGCGCCTACCTTCTCTGGTCCAAACAAATCCAGAGCATTCAGGAGCAGAATCTAAAGTTAGAAGGAGGACATACTGGCTGCTGCATTGTTGTCAGAGAAGCCAGCACTTCAACATAGCATGTTTCCTTAATGATCAGATAGTAAGATACCTTTATCATTTCACTCACTACACATCTCACTGATTGGACCTTAAAGAGAAAGGGTCATTTGTGTAATAAGGATTTATTAATTAAAGCATTACTTATGAACTTTCTCTTTCCTCCATAAATGTGGGAGCATCTGTGATTAAATTGTACCCTTCTCAACATCATCTCATATAGCTTGTAAAGAAAACAGAAGGATTAAATGTCTGCTATCATGTTTTTCCAGAAATTCCTGAACAAGAGTGGGACCCTGTAGTCATTGTCCTTGCGACTCTGTTGGCTCTCTGCGTGATCGTGATCGTCGTCCTCGTTTTCTCAAAAAGCTGAAGGTAAGTTTATTCACACTGTGAAGGTGAATTAAAACCGCTAGCAGTGATGAAGGGCCCTCGCACACCTGTGCATGTCAGGGTGTGTAGCTCATTACACCTATATCGAAAGTTTTACTTTCCCACTGGGATGATGTGTATGAATCTTTGTGCGTTCACGACCATATTAAACACCTAAAATAACTACTTCCTGTTTGATCGAACAACAACAGCTTTTGACGCATGTCTTTGAGCTTGGAGAGGTAGTATGGCCAAGGTCTTAGGATGGTCCACACCAATTTTGAGGGGAATACAGCCTGGTTCAAAAAACAAATAGGTCTGATTAGCTCATGTCTCGATCGGCACACACTTTAGGGGGGGGGGGGGTGTTTTGATGACTTATCAGTTTTGGATCGACCATTACCGTGTCATGTTCTAAATTGTTTAGAAGTTGTTTTATTGAACGTATGGCGGCACTAATCTTTTTTATCTTTATCTTTAGGATGGTTACCCAGAGGCACTGCTGGATTTCTCCCATTAATGGAAGTCAAATAGAAGAAGAAGAAACACAACGAAGACAACAGCAGCACGTTTGCAGCACCATGACAATGTCTCCGAGCGACTCAGAGAAATCTGTGAAGCCAAAGGAGCATCGTCCAACTTCGTGTTTGATAACGCTGAAATAATAGATAAAAGGTTTTATGTTCATGATTCACTGACTGCATTTTAAAACATTCCTTACATTGAAATTAAAAATGTGTTGGATGTGTCAGATCTTAGGCCGGCAGTAGCTTAGTCTGTAGGGACTTGGGTTGGGAATCTGAGGGTCGCCGGCTCAAGTCCCGGCACGGACCAAGTCCGGGTAGCTGGAGAGGTGCCAGTCCACTTCCTTAGCACTGCCGAGATGCCCTTGAGCAAGGCACCTAACCCCCCCCCACCAGCTCAGGAGCGCCCACTGTGGGCAGCCCCCTCACTCTGAGACCTCTCCATTAGTGCATGTCCATAGGATCCTGTTGGTGCATGTGTGTGTATTTCAGCCTATGTTTGTGTAGCATGTTTACTAGACAGAGTGTAAAAAACAAATTTCCCCTCACTGGATCAATAAAGTATAAATTATTATTAGAGAAAATTTAAAATGTCTGTAGCGCTGCAGCTAACAAATATTTGTTTGCAATATTTTTTGCAATTTGCCATAATCGTGCAACACAACGAATGAGTAATCAAATCACTTTTATCGATCGGTTGTTGCAGCTCTAGTCTTGTCTGCTTTGTACAAACTGAACATTCATGACTTAACCTTGTGTGAGCATCATACTTCATGTTTCATTAAACCTGTTTGTATCATTAAACTGTCTCTGCATGCACCTCTGTCTCATGAGCATCATTATAAGATTTAAGTTCATTAGGGTTTGATGAAACTTGATGTTGATACAAACTTTGAATTTGAATTTCCCTCGGGATCAATAAAGTATCTATCTATCTATCTAACTGTCTGACCTGTCAGTGCAAGAGTTTAGAAACTACCACATGTGGACATGTCTAACTTTAGGACCTTATGATCTGACTACATCGCTCTGTGGTTAGCGGTTTCCTTTTTTTAGAAGCTGTTGATGAGAGAGTGCTACGCTGACATCTTTGGAAACCTTGATCACCTTTTGACTTAGTCTGACATCTGTGTGGGAGACTTCAGTTGTGCAAGAAGGGTGCTGTAGCACAATGGTCGGAAGATTTGCTGCTTTGATTCTTCTCAGTGCTTTGTGTAAGTATAATGTGTAAGACTTTCTGAAACAAATGAGAACATGAAACATTTGAGATCAATGATCTAACCCTGACACGCTTTCTGCTGCTGTCTCATAACATCTGATGTGATTTTTCTCTCCTGTCTTCAGCTCAAACTGTGGACATGCAGCACCAGATCTCTATGACTGTGGTTGAACCTGGTGAGGATTTTAACCTGACATGTTCAATCACCGGTCTGAAAGCCGGATTGTTTTCCGGGGGTTTAAGCTCAAGTTGGTGGTCATGGTCCAAACGTTTGCGGCAGGAAGTTTTGAAAATGTAAAACTTGGAGAACAATTAAAAAAAAAAAGGTCGTCATGATTACGGTCAACGCGGAGGTCGTTTTAATCGGGGGGGTTTTCATGGGGGAGTAGCAGAAATATCTCCCATGATTCCTAACCACTTGGCGGCCCTTTTTCCTTTCCTCCAGGTCTTGCAACATGTCTGTCTCCCTCCTCCAGGGATTTGGTTCAGTATCCCATCCTTCATCTGAGGCTTCCTCAGCTGACCCGGGGGCTGCAGTACGTACCTGCCTATCCTGAATTCCGGGTACCGTAACAATTAGTTTTGTCTGTTCGGCCAACCTGCTGCTTCTATGCAGTGTTTTCTTCTCCTCCTGCAGGGCCTTGCATTTGTCCTGCAAGGTCTTAAGTTTATCCTGCATTCATTTGAAGTCGTCCCGCAGGATCTGTTTTTCTTCTCGTACCTGGGCTAGCGGTGCCTGGTGTTCCTCATTCTGCAAACACGATTTGCGCTGATGGAGGAGAAGAAGTTGGCCTTGAACATCTGAAATTAAGCGCTGTGGTTCCCCAGTTGGATTGGTTATATGCTCAAACACCTCCTTTATTTAATCCCCAGTTTAAAATAAAATGTTGGAGAAAAGACGGAAATCGGACGACATAAATGACAATATTGAAATTCTTTAGAATGCAGAAGCTGTGAATGTTTAATCATGGTGTTTCCTGCTGTCATTTTAAACATATTAACATGTGTGGGGAATAATGCGATCTCTCAAAGGTGTTAAATTCAGACACCGTCACAATCATCCCCAGTTTTTGCCAGGCTTGTTCGTGCGTGTTGAGATAAGTGTGTGTGTGTGTGTGTGTGTGTGTGTGTGTGGTGTGTGTGTGTGTGTGTGTGTGTGTGTGTGTGGAGGTCTATTAAAAAGCAGGTCTCTTTCAGTGTTTAATGTATAGATGTATTTAAAATAGTTTGAAACCTTCGTGGTCAAGTTATGGTGACGGCAGCGAGGAAGAAGTGGCACACACAAGCTGTTCACATCTTTGTTTTGTGATTGGCTTCCTGTCTCGTGGTCTCTGTTTCTAGATAAAGAAAGCGACACGTCTTTTATTCTTTCATTACAACCGCACTGCCATTTCTTGTTTCATGGGTTTCATCGCAGAGCATCTCAGCTCGGCTGCCTTTAACCACACACGATGAATACAAAGATAACAAAACCTGTGGGGAAGAAATAAATCATAGACGTTTTAAATACTCCTTTAAACCCACATAATACTTTGTTTCATTTATCACAGGGTTTCCAAATATCACCAATCAATCTTTATTTGTAATGCGACCCATCTAACCGAGACCAAGACATACCCGAGACCAGACCAAGACATTTAGGGATCAAGACTGACACAAGACCAACACCAAACATATCACTAAAACAAAGTGATGGAATATTCGATCAGGACTCTGCATATTTTGTTTTGTTTTGAAATTGACCAGACGCTCTTGTCTGACTTCCTGTCCTGGTCATTCGATTCTGTCCAGCTTGGAGACGGACCACGGCGCTCGCTGTGGAAACATGAGCTTTGACTACAGCGGTGCAGCACTGCTGGATTGTGGTGCACGGACTATGTGGAAGTTGGCAGTAAATGTTATACAGCTTTATACATTCTTGCAAATATATGCTATAAGTAGGGGGGGTTAGGGGGGCAATAAAACTTCCTCTTTGGGCCCCACTTTGGCCAGGGGCGGCCCTGCTCGTAGCCGTGCTTACTGCTATCACAAAATGCATTCTTTACTTTCATATAGTCGCTCATGTACAGCACCTGCTTCAAGCCAAACATTTAAACAAACAAAAGAAAAAGAAAAAACCATCATTAACCTTCGGCTTTCAGGATAACATCAGCGATCACACACTGAGCTACATAAAGGCTAACGACCCGTCTAAAAAAGCTAATCGAAC